AAAGGTTTTAGATTTAAAAAAACTATAGAACTGTTTCGGATCCAGAGCTTAGTTCTTAAGTATTTTTTAAAGAATCTTAACTTAATATTTTTTAGATAAGAAAGGTGCCTGGTATAGCAAGGGGGTTTATCCGCCATAGCCGGATACCGCAACGGAACAAAGTGATCAAAAAATAGGTTTATTGTACATGCGTAAAAATCGGACCAGACAAATTCTGAAATAAAGTTATTAATTTTTTTAAGTCGCCTTTACGAAAACATCGAATATTCTTATCAGTGTAATTGTTCTTAGGCTTAGTACATAGCCCCATATCGATCGAAAGATCTAATGTTGGATGATAAGGATCTTCAGGGTGTGTGAAAGGTGGAGCTCTGTATATGGATACGGCGTCCGTATCAGAGAAGAAGCACAGATCGAGCAAACGACCTCAAGAATTCCCTATATGATTAATTTGAGCCAGTGACACGTCTAACATGCCAGCAGTAAAGTCGTGATGCAACGTAGGTGTTAAAGCTAAGGTGTTATCGTTCATGGAACAAGCCACCTGGGGTAAGTTGAAGTCACCCAACACCACCAGATGATCCCTGTCCGATAACATTGAGAAGACAGACTGAATGGCTGCTAGGTGCCGCTCATATGTCAAGGAATCGGACTTAGGCGGAATATAAGAGCAAGTGATACACAAATTTAACCTAGAGAATGAAATTTTTACTGTGACAAATTCTAAGTCTCCAGTTTGAAGATTTATCACCTCGGAAACGAGATTAGAGTCCACAGAAATTAGGACTCCACCAACATTTCCGACGGATTGGTCAAGCCTATATATTGTGTACCTACTGGGGAAAACTTCAGAATTAAGAATATCTCGTAAGCCTCTTGTGTTCTGGTAGGAAAGAATAATGGATGATGTTAGTTTTTTAGGTTGGCAGGAGCGTTTACTTGTGAAAGATTTACTCCTAAAGGGCGACTTTTTTTCTTCTTTTTATTTTTAAGCTGATGTTCTGGAACAAAAATATATTGCGGCCAGAAATTGGTCGAACAGATATCGTCAAAAGCCATCGGAGGAACACGGATCTTGAAAGATGCCACGTTCCTAGCGTAAGAATACTTATACTTAGTGATATTTTCCACCCTAATATCGACTTTAAGTTTTGCTTGAATGAAAGCTAAGATGTCCCATTCGGACGAATCAGGCGAAAGCCGGGAAACAAAAATGCGTTTCTCTAGAGGAATACCAATCAAGGGCTTTGGCGGGGCGGGTGGTTTACCCACGCTACCAGTGGGTGCCGGTAAACCGGACCCTAAGTTCCTCTGGTGAGTCAAAGGTAAATTCTTTTGGGCTTGTAGAACATTTGGCACGGGAGGGTCCAATGCGACTACCTCGGACTGCTCATCGGACAAATGCCTACACACCTTAGCAATATTTTCGGGATCCATAATATGGGCTGTAACCGGTGTCGTTACGATTGGAGTGGTGGACGTCAGCGGTGACAATGAAGGAGACTGTTGAACATCAGATGGAGGGAGAAGGGAGTTATTCGCATTACTGGCGGTAACAGCTGGCGGCAAACGGGTCGTTTTTTTGCGCTTAGTTGTAAATTGTGGAACTGAGTGTCCAGCGCAGAAAACAGGTCGTTAGCGAAAAGCAACCAATACCTGACCGAACACATTCTTAGTCTGCCGCATAAGTGATCTAATTTCCTTTGGGCCTCACGACATCTGTCACAACAGCAGTGTAAGCCAGAGTCGGAACGACCCAAAGCATCCGGAATGGTGGCTGACTTATACCCTGCACACTTGGAGTGCGCAATGTTATCACTCAGCCAACAGTGGACGCTTACTTGGTCAACCGACACAATTTTATTGCATTTTTTAATACAACAGATAATATCGGACATTTTGGCAAATAATTAGTAAAATGTAAACCACTGTGCCAGAAAAATATTATAGGGAAGAAGAAAGGGAGTTTGAGAGAAACAGTTAGGGGCAATCGAGTAAGCGAGAGAGTGTTAGCGAGAGAGAGGCGTTATAAGAGTTGTATAAGAGAGGGAGAGAGAGTGTGTTTTCGAGAGCTACAAGCCGATGGGAGATGCAGAAAAGAGATCTACAGATATTGTGCTGGAGAGGTAAGCGGTTAAAGTTCCGTTACTAATAGCACAATGTAAAGTAAAAACATGTTAGAATACAGACTATAATTGTTGTAATTTGCTTGCAATAAATGTTTTATGCAATTACGACGCGGAATCGAAGACAGATTTTTAAAGTAGATAAACGTTTGCAAAAAAAAAATAAATAAATTAAATCGCTCGAGAACATGCAAAAGCTAAAAACACAACCGTTCGCCTTGAAAGAGAAGTAATGTAATTGTTGGGGAAATATAACTTAAAAATAGCCTTAACTTAATATATACTTGACTTACTGCAGCATCTCCTCTGACTGACTGACTATCGATACTTATCAGACTACCTCATCCGTTCCGCGACTATAATAATAGTAATATAGTTACGTTGATGCTAAGGCCCAGTTTAGTGTAGGCCCCAGAAACGCTAGATCCTCCTTGATCTTAGTGTTCTTATGTTGAGGGGCTATTATAGCCTGGTCCGATGTTTGATCAAAGGAAATTGAACTCGAAGCTTAGTGTACCCAATTTTAAGCTCGTCATCACCGACGAATAGGCTAGACGTGCTTTCATAATCTCTCCCTGCTAACAAGTGTTGGTAAGTACTGCGCCACTGCTTCCTGGTACTGCATTTTCCAGACTCCTGTCCGTCATCTTTGGGAAGGTCCGGAATATCGGGCACTCCCTTCAGCAAATCGTTGGGTGTGAGTGAGCGGACGAGAGTTCACTATGCTCTTCGCCTCAATCAACAGATTGTCCATTACGTGCTCCTTAGGCGCGATCTCCTTCGTGTGCGCCAGCACCTTCTTCACGCACTACACCATCCCTTCCCAGGCGCCACCCTTAGCTGGGTTCGCTCAAACACTTCGCAAAGACTTCCCATCTCGGGCTGCTCTGGTCGCGCCCTCCGTAGAATGCAATCGAGCCAGTGCCTCCTTGTGACACAGTGTGATCGGCCGACGCGCGCAGTATTGCACGCACATCGCGTCGTCGATGCTTCCGCTGGCCCGCATTACTCCGACCTCGTCGAAGTATGGAGATGGCTGTCCTCAGCAAACGCTTCTCGCTGCGATTGCCTTATCAATGCACGCTCTGCCTCACCGCACTCCATCGACGTCAGCCTGTGGACCTCTCGATCACAACGTAGTCCACGGCATCGCCAAAAAAATTTGAGCACCCATGCCGTGCACCTAATCAACCCTTTGTAGCTCGAAAATATCTGTACAAATATGAAGCTCGCCGTGACTAGGGCAAACTCATATTTCATCTCTTCACCTGACGTCGGGGGAATCCAATACTCTCTCAATCACGGCCAGCTCTCTTCTGGTCCTCGTAGAAATGGTGAACCGCCATCTGCGGCTGACGGCGCCGGCTTCACTCCGCCAGCTGCGACTGACTGCGAAATTCTAGATCTCGAAGTAATCACTGAGCATCTTCTCTAGAAGCGGTGAACTCGTCTTTCCACATATGGTCCTCCAGATCCACAGCTTCTGGTTCTGAGGGGTATTCCTAGATGCGCATGATCCAGTTCAATTAGGATCCTTGACGTCGCGTTTTTGTACAGCTTCACAGGCAGGCGCGCATTCGCCTTCCCTGACTTCAAATCTTCTCGACGCAAGCTCTGCATCGGAAGGTTCATATTGGCCACTCCGCACACATTCTTCAGCTCATTGCACTTTAGCTTGCCCGCTGCACTGATATGCAGGCTAACCATTTTCGTGCGCTGAAACAGCATTTTGAAAAAGGTAGCCAGCCCTCTTGCGTACTGGCAGGTAATAAATTATTGAATCACATATTTTTCTCAATTGTATAAATTATATTTTAGATTATTACAGATGGCGATGCGTTGAAAACGTTAGCTAAAAAATATTACTACGTTTCCGCATCTTCGTGTGAATCTGAAAGAGTTTTCAGTCAAGATTGACCACCTATAAGTGTTCCTCGCACGCGGCTAACATCGCCAGTTGTCGATTAGATCCTCATTTTAAACAAAAAGAAAACCAACATGTAAATAATTTGTAAGTAATATGTAAATATACACATGTTGAAATGTAAGAAACATTTCTTTCTTTTAATTACTTTGAACAATGATAACAATGATTGCATTGCTTTACTATAGAATTTTCGCGATCGATAAGCGTTTTCGAATGTGGTGAAAACTTGTTATATCTTTGTGTAATCGAAATCAGACGTGTTGCGCATTGGTTATTGAAGCAAAAGAATATAAAGATTCCAAAAGAACCATATAAACAAAAAATGCTTTGCCGTTCGCAATAAAATTCAGTTTAAGCCAGTCTCAGCATCGAATATTACAGTCAGAATGCTGATAGGCACCTTAGTATGTGTGCAGTTCGCATTTTGGCGCCAAAGACATTCGAATGCAACGTTCCAAATGCAATAATGGAAAACTAAATTAAAATAACAAAATTACAATTTCATCGACAAAAATATATTTAAATGCAAAGAAGCTAGTGATCTAGGAAAAGCAGTGTCAATTTTAAATACTGCTTTGCTTTATAATCACGAGGCTTGCTTATAACTTGTACACTTATGTATATACAGTCTACATAAGCTTAAATCACACTTATATCTGCATTTTTATTTATTTGTTGTATTGGTCCGTACTTTAAATTAAATATCTCCTATATCCGCTCTTACATTGTTATTATTTATTTAAATACATCTGACCAAAATCTTAACCTTTTTTTAGTAAACTCATGGTTCAGCAGTTTTTTTATATTATTTTTATTTAATTTTTATTTAATACTGTTAGATAGTGATGACTCTGAGTTTAAAAAAAAAACATTAAATTCACTATAGAATGTGTTCTGTGGGACTATTATATAACAGGCAATGCTACCAGACTTAGCATTGATCGATACATTTTTATATGCAACTTAAAGATAAATAAGTGAAATAAATTTCAAAAAATTTTAAATTTAAAATATAGGTGCTATATATAAGCATGGAAAAATCTTTAGAAGAGAACAGGTTGAAAGACTCTTTCGATAAATTAATAGAAAATACATCGTAAGTCTATACTAGCAGGAAAAGTGAAGTTAAATTAATATTATTGTTTTAGGAGGAATCTGAAAATAACAAAAAAGACCTTAAGAGTTTCATTTAATATGGACTCAAGCGTAGAAAACAGCAGATATGATACAGGCATATTGGAGGAAAATTACAAAAATTGTTTAAAAAAAAAATGCAATTGGGAATGTTCTTCACCAACTTCTTACAATAGCAGCTCGGCTGCGGAATTATTTGATTGTCCATTATCTCCAATCGAAAGCTCAATGATACTTGATCCTATTATATGTACAAACGGGAATCGTGAAGATGCTGAGAGAAAAAAAAAGATGCAGAAAACAGAATGTTTCGGAATCCTAACTCCAGATATGGCTTACAGGAAAGGCCGGAGATTAATAACGCAAGGAAGAAAATCTTTTTTTTTGAAAACTTTAATTAAAAATGATCGGTTTTTTGAACAAGATGTTTTACGGTATTGCGATCAATTCAAGCCCTATCCATTTAATACTGCATATGCGCAGTATAAAATGTTGAATGCGGTAAAGATCGGTGAAGGTACATACGGAGAAGTGTTTCGTTACACTTCAAAAAAAAACGCTGAAGATGTAATATTAAAGATAATACCAATCGAAGGACATATTGAAATAAATGGAGAGAAGCAGAAAACTTTTAGTGAAATTATGCCAGAAATAATAATTACAAAAATTATGAGCGGCCTTCAAGGAACTAATACAAATTGTACCAATGGATTCACAAGTATGCACAAGGTAAGGTAAAGGATAGTATAAATGGGTTTACAAGGTGCCGGATCAGCATTGGGTATCCGGTTGCTGACGATCGTTCGCTGCGGGGGTGTTCTGGCCGGGAACCGTGGAATTGTCCCCAGAGTGCGGAGTCGGCGATTTCTTTAATACGCGTGTTGGCCACTTCTGGGCGGGCTCTGGGCGATTGCGCCCAGAGGGCACAGTCTGGGCCACTTCTGGGTTTAGTGGGTCCTTCGTTGGCCTTAATGGAAGCTTGTAAACCTCGACACATGCTTTTTATAGTCGCTCGTCTGTCAGCATCAATTGAATCCCATTTATCTATTAATGCGGTTTTTAAGGATTCCTTCGAGGATATGTTGTCCTTTTCTGGAGGATATCCCATAAATGTTCTATTGGATTGAAATCTGGGGATTGTAGAGTCGGTTTTTGCTCCTTGCAGTGATATAAAAGCCACTATTACACTTAATACTACAAATATTTCCGGTCGTTATCTTATTGAAATGCGAAAGACGCTGGATTTTGTCCCAGTTTAAGGGCACTTGGAATAAAATTTTGGCCTAAAATGTCCTTATGCATAAATTTATTAATTTTATCTTCCATAAAGACCATTCGACCCACTCCACCTACAGCTATACACCCATAAATCATCACATTCTGGCCAACGTGCTTAAAAGTTTGGATCAAGTTTTTTCCTTCATGGCTCCATTTGCCTTTTGACATACTTTAAAAGAACCGCCGTGTCCAAAATTTTTAATTTGTTAATAAATATAACGTTCTCCTGAAATAATTCCGGCTTGCTTACATGCTCTTTTGCGATCTCCAAACGCATTTTTTGTTATAATCAGAAATCAATGGGTTTTTTTACGAACAACTCTACCATGTATACCAGCATTGAGCAAGGTGTTCCGGATGGGTTGGGCAAAAAAATTTTTTTTAAAGAATTGTAGATGTTATTCTGGGATTTTATAATGGTGTGTTTACAACTTTATGCTCCTCCAGTGCTTACATATTTTTTTATCACTCTTTGCATTGTGGGAGGTGACTTGACAATATTTCTACCAATTTCATTATAGTTTTTCAAAAATTTAGGAGTATATCTTAACCCCGTCCCATTTCGTCCAATTACAGTAAAAACAAGAGGAAACGCTTTAGTCGAGTGCCGCGACTATAAACCGCTGAAAACTGTGGCGTCTATAGTATTCTTACGAATGACTTCGTCTGATCTTATATAACATATTTCTGTCAATCTCTATCGATTTACCAAAGAACTCTCAAATCGGAACATTATTTCGCTATTTTTGAAGAAATTTAGGTTATAAGGGCTCATATGGGCAGTGACATCACTATCAGTTACTCCAAATGATTTCTCCGACAATAGGTGGCGCTTTAGGAATTTCCACAAGCAAATTGAATATTTTAAAACTGTGTAAAACCGTAATGGGTATCTTATAGTCGCGACACTCGACTACAGCGTTTCTTCTTGTTTTATGTTTAAAATATATGCTCGAAATGTATATCTTTCATTTGAGATATTACATTTTAATTTCCGTTTCGTATTTCTCGAGATAATAAGGAATAAACTTGCAACTCATGGGTGTACGAATAAATTATGTGCCGACTGTATATAAATATATATACATATCTGAAGTTGAATCTCTTTATTTAATATTTAAGATAATCCGATTTGCAGATAGTTTTAGTTTTTTAAACATTCGTTAATTTAATACCACATTTTTTGGGATAGGGGTTAGCGACGTCCATAAACCTTCATAATCAACATCACGAAAGATTTACTTTTCAGAAATACATTAATGAAATGTATTTTATCTTAAATTTTAACACTGGCTTTAATTAATAATAATGTTTATTGTCTTTCACGAGATTCTGGCGGCGACTGCCTTTGCTCAGAGTAACCGTCCATCCTCACGTCCTTTTGTTTTCTGCTTCCGGATATACGGAATGTTTTCCCGTGCACATTCTTCGTGTGGGATACAACCATATGTAGTTAGAAAAGGCATCCACTATGAAAAGAATCTGATGCTTTTTGGTCAACTTCATCGGCCCAACGGGATCGATATGGTACGTTACCATGGTTGTCACCTATGTCGACTGGTTTAAAAAACATTCTTTCCTACCAGCTGGCATTCACTAAAATGCACTCTACATATATTATGTATTGATATACAAAAGTGACTTTGCTCAGTGCAGACGTGTTTTTCTTATCGCTCCGCCAGTGCTCTGTAAAAAATATGAACCTAATAGCGAAAGGATGCTTACAGCAATCCCAAATCTCTGCAAATCTAACATCCAATATCTAGTGCACCCGGTAAACCGACGAGTCAAAGCCGCGAAACACAACCTTAGCAAGCAAGAATACAACCCGTTGCTCGGAGCAACGCGAACTTTTTGTAGTCGCACCATAGCCAAAAAGTAGTGTTTTTGACCGCGACCGCAGACGTTCACTTTCTGAGGCTTCAGTTACTCTATCTTGGAGCTCACAATGCCCTCAATGCTTTCACCGCAAGCTGGCCTCGGCTCTGCAGTTCCTCTCCAAAAAACGGCGGATCTGGCAAAAGGTGCTCTTGTACAGACCTGGATCGATCCGTATATACAAGTAAAACGTAAGCTTGGCCCACAAAAGAGCAAAAAGGAAAACATGCTGAAAGTATCCAAAACATCAGGCATCTCTTCTACCAGTTCGACATATATAAATAGATTTACAAGATTGAGAAACTTCGGCCCTGTCCAATGCGTGAATTGCCAGGAATGTGGACATACCAAAAGCTACTGCACTCTACGTGCAGTTTGTGTTGTGTGCGGTGATCTCCACACACAAACAAAAGAATACCCAGAACACAAAGAAGATTCTGCATTAAGGAAGTGTAGCAACTGCAGTTCGTAAATACCCACGATATTGACTGGGTGACCCTATCGGAAACCCTCCTCCCAAATAAAAACCATTTTGATCACACTGGGTATATCTTCTATGGAACCAAACAGACGGCGGTGGAATCGGAATTTTTAATTAGAAACCAACCTCGTCAAGCACCATTTTCACCAAAGTTTTGCAACAAACTATATAGAAGCCACATCGTTAAACTTACAGTTACACAGCGGAAATATAATTATTTCAGCAGTTTACCGTCCTTTACAATCTCGGAGGCACAACTTCCTGGACCGATTTGTAGCAGCTTGAGACTACAACGCGAAACATACGCACTGGAGATCGAGACCCATAAAGGCAGACAGTACAATACATGTTGTCACAAACTTAATAGCCCAATCTACTGGATCGCAGATCAGTAGAAAAATTTCAATGCCAAAGAGAAAATATGCATAGAAATATCTATTAGAAATACAGGCAATTAGGCCCGTAGTGGGGAAGTGAAGTGTTTATGCCCGGTCATAAACCCAACCCAAGCCCAACCCTGCAACTAACTCGTTCGCTCTACTGCAAACAAACACTGCGCCAGCGATGAACCCAATAATCTTCCAACCCACTGAGATTGGCAAAATCATCAATGATCAACTAAAACCTGGAAAGGCTCCGCGTGCAGAGCAAATAACCCCAAATATGATAATGAAACTGCCGAACCGTGCTATAGAGGCTATTTGCAAACTCTTAAACGCAAAAATAGAAAAGATCGATCAATATAATGATCCTGAAAGCTGGAAAAGATAAAACTAATCCATCATCGTATAGACCAATACGTTTCACGTCTCTCAAAGCTCTTGGAAAAATGCCTTCTATCTCGAACAACACCTTACCTCAGAGACCAAACCTTTTTTTCCGGCACTTCAATTTGGCTTTCGCGAACGACTTAGTACATATAGATAACGATAATTTTGACTTTGAAATTTCGAATATCATCGTCAATGTGTCAGATATTGTGTAAAAGGTTTGCGAAATGGTTAAGTTTACGCTCGAAAAAAATTGGGAAATATTGAAAACTTTCTTCCAAAGTGGAGAGTCTTCAACTAAAAATGCAAAAACCGAATCGGGGGGTCAAAATTAGGGAAAAAAATAAAGCGCCTTCCAGGCAGTTTGTGGATAATTTTGTAAAGCGTGTGCGTAAGACTTGATTGTTGATGGATAAAACAGAACGTTTACGTGCTCGTCCAGTTCGGTCGGTCGAAAATATCGCTGCGGTGGCCGAAAGTGTCAATGACAATCCGTAGACGTCAACTCGGTGCGGTGTGTAGTCGGGTGCCATCATTGGGCCGTTTTCTTTAAAATCGAGGAAGGAGCTGCCGTAACCGGTTATGGTGTCTGCTATCGCGGCATGTTGGAAGACTGTTTCTTTCCCCGAATGGAAGAAGCAGACATTAGGCGACATATGGTTCCAGCAGGACGGCGCTACGTACTTACCGCACACGTTCGAAAATAGCATTATCAGCCGAAACGGCGATGACAACTCCCCGCCTCGCAACTGCGATTTGACCTCGTTGGACTATTTTTTGTAGGGTACCGTCAAGGATAAGAGTTACGCCAACCACTCAGAAACGGTTAACGACCTAAAGCACGAGATTGATGTCGCCATCAGGGCTATTGAGTGCCATACCATCGAAAATGTGTTTAAAAATTGGGTCGACCGAATGGGATATTGTAAAGCCAGTTGAGTCAGCCATATGAACATACATATGCCGCAATTATAAGGCTATTTAAAACGCAAATCTTTCATTGGCCACCCTGAACAATCCAGCAGGTTAACAGCTGAAAGGCGGCCTTCGAAAATCATGAATACTGCAGTGCGATATTCTTCAACGTCTCCCAAGCGTTTGACAGAGTCTGACCAGACTGCCTCATGCATAAAATCATACACTACTCCCAGAGTACACCCATAAAGTGCTCGAGTCCTATCAATATGAAAGATCGTTTTCGGTGAGATGCAAAGCAACAACATCAGATGCCTACACTATAGAAGCTGGAGTACCTCACGGTAGTGCGCTGGTTCCCACACTTTATGATTTTTAGCTATGAAATTTATGAAATATGTTAATTATCATCTGTGGAGTCGCTAGAGGTATAATGTTTAAGAAGTTTATTGATAGCTATTAAAATAAAAATTTAAATTTTCAGTCTACGGATGCACAAAATAAGCTGTACGCCACTGTAGAACTGTAGAAAAAAACTTTAAGCAGACAAACGACAGTGGCACACACTTTATTTTAGTACGTGTCAACGTATCAACACGAGATTAGTTCCTTGTCACCTTACCAACATACAAGTTCAACCTCATGGAAGTTTTACACAAAGGCTCAATACGAAGATAATATCTCTTGAATTGAAACGGAGAACAAATGCTGAGATTTTAAGGAAATACTTCGAAACAAGAATTATTACACCATACCTTACTACTCCGTTTTAAACCTGACAGCACGACTAAAAAGTTGCAAACTTGCAGAACGTGAAGATGTAAAACTCTAATTGAAATAAAGCTACAAGTATTGATTGTTCAACAGTTCACATTTTTATTATTTTCTATATTTAAGCGCTTATTACTCATGTGTAAACAGCGGACATATAGAAAATGGACTGAAAAGAATGAAATAAACCTGATGATCAGGTTTCATCAGCGAATAAGACAGTTACATATGGAACAACATAAGCGTCGTTTTTGTAATCAAAATGTTAGAATGTTTTTTTTAACCTTAGTGCCTAGACCAAATATGATGTCTGAAGTCAGCCAGGTAAGTAAACAGCTCAATAATATTCTTCTAAAGTCAGGCTTCAATTTAATAAAATTAAGCTCTTACGATGGTGAGGAGTTACAGGAAATTTCCAAGGTGACATCGCCGCGGATTTAATTTTTTTTATACCCGTTACTCGTAGAGTAAAGGGGTATACTACATTCGTTGAGAAGTATGTAACAGGTAGAAGAAAGCGTTTTCGACCCTATAAAGTATATATATTCTTGATCAGTATCAATAGCGAAGACTAATGATCCATGTCCGTCTGTCCTTATGAACGTTGAGATCTCAGTAACTATAACAAATACGAAGTTGAGATTAAGCATGAATCTTTGAATTCTTTGAAATCTCTGGAACTATTACAGCTAGAAAGTTGAGATTAAGTATGTGTAATCCCACACCCACTCTTGCGCTCACCAATCTTGAAAGACGGTTTTCGCATTTTGTAGAAAAGATGATCCCTAACTATAAGTGATAGAAAGTTCGGATTAAGCACGTAGGTTTTTATTATGCACCAAATGCGAATTGTTTTTGTTCTACCTAGCCATTCCCACCCTAATGCCCATAAAACCCGGAAAATAAAAAGTGCAAAATCTCGGGACCTTTTAGAGCTAGAAAGTTTTGCTTAAGAATTCGTATTTTAGAGATGACTCTTCAGCTCGGCACAAGTTTTCATCCACTCTAACGCCCACAAGCCGCCGAAAACTGTGGCGTCCATAATATTATAATGGATGTAAGTCGTTTGACTTTGTATAACATTTTTTTGTCAATATCCATCGATTTACCTAAAAATATTCAAATCGGAAAATTATTCCGCTATTTATGAAGAAATTTAGGTTATGTTTTAAAATTTTGTAAAAAAGTTACGGGTATCTTATAGTCGTGGAACTTGACTATAGCGTTTCCTCTTTTTATATATATGCTGCTGTTTATTTATTGAATCTTCTCCTCCAGAGACTAACAATAAGTTATCAAAGCGTATAGTTATAACCTCACTATCTAATTGACAGTTTTTATCTAACAGGTGCCTCAAATGTAATTATTGCTGGACTGGGAAGTCGTTGCGTCCTAGTCAAGTTGTGCCTGCGACCATGGATAGGATCCGAGAGAGATTGTTTGAATGTTCGTTGAGTTTTCTTCGGTAGGTCGCTTTAAGCCGTGATACTGGCCGTCTGATACTGGCGGGATTTAGAGAGCTTTCTGGATGTTATCGTTTCGTACATACCATGGGGCCCCTGTGATACTTCTGATTCCTGGCCCGCTGCTGCAACACAAGATCTACCTTGAAAAAACTCCAGCTTCTATATAGTAGTTATCCAATGTTGTTGCTTTGCTAGATAGGACTTAAGTAATTTATGTGAATACTCTGGCAGTAGGGTTTTGATTTTATGAAGACATTTCAAAGAGTTTTAAGGGTTGTTATGCTTTAGTTGATCCTTGATAATATTAGCAATAACTGTGTACCGGAAGATTATTGGGTCCGTCGCTGGTGTTGTGTTTGTTTGCGGTAAAGCTCCGTTTGTTTGCTGGGTCTTCATCAGATTGTTTTCCTTGGATAGGCCATAGAGGAAATCTGGAGCTGGCCGGTCTTAGCTTCAATGTACTTGCGCTAGTCTTTTTCAGCATCTTTTTTTTGGACCTCGGAGAGCTTATGTGAGGCTTCTTTAAGTAACTTCTTCGATCTGCTGGTTTGCCAGGCCCTACCCAAGCGACTTTTCTTCAGAGCGAGCTGTTCTATCAGAATGTTACTTAGGTACTGATTTATAAGGTCTAAGTCAAGGTATGTGTACTCACATTTTCAGACAGTTTTCTGAGGTCTACAGCCTTGTAGGTTGGGCTCTCCGGTGATACGCATCCTCTGTAGCTAGCAGTGTGGTTTCCTCCGCAGTTTCGTATTTTGTGGTGCTTGGATCATCTTTGATGGCAGGGCAATAGTCGGTATTATTACAGCCTGAACGAAGTGTGCAATACCTTCAGGTATGTCAATACTGCATACATGGAACTCCAATAGTCTAGCTTAACATAAGAAAAAACCGCTACCGCCAGAGCAGACGATCACCGACGGCCGACCGCTGCAATTGGACCCGAGAGAGATGCAAGATTGTGCAAGGAGGGGCGAGCGCGGATGTGGACGAAGGCCGAGAAGCAACCGAACTGCGCCAGGAGTTGGCGGACGACG